ACTATTCGATGGGTTTAATAGCCCATGATCCTTTGCTAAGTGAGTGCACGTGCCTATTTTACGTGAGGTGGGAAGACACGTCTGTTCGCTGTCTGCTGCCTTCTGCCCTTTTTACTGCTTGCCACAAAGTACACTATGACTTTGACTTTGGAAGAAATACTTGTCGCGTGTGTTTTATGAGTCATCGGTACTTGCGTATGACTTTTTGAAAAATGGCTGTAGATGCTGTGCAGGAAACATGTACGCATCACGCAGAGTTAATTGAACAGGAAAACATACGCTACATATGATTCTTTTATTCCGTTTATGCTAGAGACAAAAATAGACCAATTTTCAATTCAAGAAAGTCAAGGAAGCGATGTACGGAAACTGAAGTGCTCACTGACCATCAGGACTCTCAGGTCGGTACTCAGAGGGGAACCGGATTGTAGTAACCTGCAACTGTGCGTTGAAGGAAAATGATTTTATCGATTTACCCGTGTGCAGTGACTCCCTGGTTACAATCACTTAGCAACAGGTTTGAAGGTCATATTTGTCGATACCTATTTTGCTTCAGACTATTACAATGGATCATTTTTGCATTTTGTAAGAACAGACATGTTATGCAGTTTCGTACTGTCTTCTTGTTGTTCATGTTCTTTACGACGCTGATAACGTTAAGTTCCATTCGATTCATTTCTTGACTACACAAATTTAAAGATTATTGAATTTCAGCTTAGGCCAAGGACAATCCTTGTTAGACTGCGGTTTTGCTTATTTTAAAGTTGTCAGAATTCTTTGCTGCCATATGCTGAGGTGGGAGGGGCAGTGGTGCAGTTGAGTGCAAGCCTTTGACCTGCTGACAATTTGTGCAGCCTTGTGCTAGAGTGTTTTGGTGTTAGAGCATAGGAAACACACGGCGAAAATGCTGCATGATTGGTGTGCTTTTACACTGCAATTCGTCTTGACCCACCAACCTATCTAATACTCAGCATAAGGTGCAATCAAGAAACAAGCAGTAAAATAGAAACGTATCTTAAAGAAGGTCTTACGCTGCTTTGCACGCTTTTTCCAGGATCTGTTATTAACTTTATCGTTCCGTCCGAATTTTATAGTAGTTAATTTTTGTCAGAAGAGTCAAGCTCATGGTAGTATAATTTTCCTCCCTTGCTGCTGCGAGAGCTAAGAGAGCCAACTCAAAATTTGGGATCCTTTAGTTTGCTAGCAGTTAGTATATCATATTCTGTTTGCAGCGGAAACTTGACGATCCCCGCGTAATTATTGACATTATTTTGTACTGCTTCAAAGCTTTAAACTCAGACTGTTTCTTGAGGTGTTAAGCCAGAATTTTCCTCCGTCAGGGCTGAAGAAAATGCGGTCTATTAGACTTCTGTCTGGCATATGATCCCATACTCTCGTCATTGACAGCTTGACCGCTCTCCGCAATGGTGAGAATGGATTTACGAAGAGTTCTCTTAGGCAGAAAGAACGCTGCTATTACCTGTGAGGAAAACCATTGGAGCCGATAGTCCGTAGTGATTCTCTTGAAATGCAAGGTTGTGTATAAAATACAATGCAAAATGCAGACTGCCTCATCAGATGTCTGGCCCTTCAAGACAGCGACTGAAGAATGTTCGTATTGTGCTAAGATTCAAGAACTTAGGTTCTCTATATACTACTGAGGATTATTGAACTGATGACGTTTCTACCATTTATGACCTCTCTACTCCAGATTCAATATATCACCTTTCTGCATACTTTGTTCACTGATTTGTATGAATGTGCGACGATAAACAAAAGCATAATATTTATCCACGTTTCAACCTTAAGCACGTTTCACAACTCAGAATAGTGTAAGGTATCAATGCATTTTTCCCTCCTATTAAGAGTGATTTCCGGCTTCAAACTGATCTACCCTCACACCATGAATATTCATTGGAGGAGAGTTAGTGATTACTAAACAATAAACAAATATTCTCTCAATAAGATATGATGAACCTTAGAATGTAAAGGAAGTTCTGATACTCATAATTAAATTCATAAAAGGTAGCAATTCCATAAATCAAATATTTAATTAAGTCCTTGGAACCAAAACCGAATCCTAAATATGGCATCCCTTTATCATTGTGACAAGGATAAAGAAACATCATTGTGTGGTTCCAAAGATTTCGTATTAGTTTAGGAGCCTACTTCTGTTACGGTTTAGTGTTCGACTAAATGAATAAAATAGGCTCAGCTCCAACGGGCTACGGCTCTTGAATGACCATAGCACCGAGTGGAACCCTGGAACACAAATTCGTAAAGAAGCGCGTTGAAAAACAATCAGATGCTGGGACTTGTTGTAAAACAACTTCAGTTGATCCACACAATTAATAGCCCATTGGAGTCATACGTAACTGGGAGTCATTAACGCACCCGCACTTGGCAAAGAACAAATTCTGCTGGTTCACGATTGGGAAGGCCTTGCTTCCTGTGCTTTAATTCCTGCTTGATCATACATTTAAGCCACAGATTCACAAAATCTACTTATCTTGCAGACAAAGTCACCACGTCGGTACCAGCAAAAGCTCGTCAGTGCACCAAGTAGGTCTTATGTTGCAGATTATTTACCACCACGAGGTGCTAGACACCTGAAGATCTTGCTGCTGATTGGATAGTGGTCACAAACTCGTCAACCCATACCAAACTATTTAAATAATAAATTTCGAATATTTTTCCATTGTAGCAAGTCATTTGTGAACTTGGGTATTTGTTGAATGAAAAGTCAAAATTTCTCCGTATTATTAGTTTGATTGAAAATTTGTCATGCATAATTTTGGAATGCCTATACTGTCACGTTGCATCTGCAACTGCCAATTCATATTCCAGTGTAGCCAGCGGTAATCGATTTATG